TACAGGTACACGCTACTACGCCTGGCTAATGTTTTGATTTATTGTAGAGATGAGGTCTCACCAAGTTGCCCAGGCGGGTCTTGAACCTGTGGGCTCAGGCAATCCACTCACCTCAGCCTCAAAGCGCTGGGATTACAGGCTGAGCCACTAAGCCCAGCTTGCAATACTTAATTAAACATCAGAGTTCATGAATGTCATCCATGACCTTGTTCTAAGACTGGTTATGGAAAAGTACTGATCACCTGGTAGGAACCATTCATTTTGGAATTTGAAGGAAGTCTGCATTTCATTCTTAAATTCTCAGGCACTTCGTTGGCAGTAATAATCTACATGGTATGTTCATGTCAAATTATTAAGGGCTTAGATTTTTATAAATTCATAGACAAAACTATGTGAAAAGAACAAAATCTAATTAAGCTAAGGTATTTAGAGATGAGAACTGCTCTTTCCTTTCAGAAACTCTCTTTCTTGAGAATGCATTTTTTATATGTCAAAATAAAACATGAAATTCAGGTAACTAATGCAGGCGAAAAAAGTAAATTTGTCTGTGGGCAAAATAAACAAAGATGAGGAGGACTTCTGCTTTTCGTATTGCTTTAAATATACTGGTTGGGAGGTTCTGGTATTTCCTTTAAAGTGCAATAAAGGGACTTATGACTGAGACTATTAGGGAATACGTAAAATAATGAAGTTTTTAAAAAAGTAGTTTAATTTATTAAACTAATTTAATGATTTGATCAACTTCTAATACTCAAGTGTTAGATATATTCTTCAACATTCTTCACATGTGAAAGAAAAAACAAAATCACCACTGTTACTTACATTCCAAATCGCAAGGTTCCAGAAACATACGTTTGCCAATGTGCACAATAGAACATGAACGTCCCGGCAAAACAACAAAAGAACATCCAATCAGGGTTTGTCCCCAGTTGCACTGCAATACAGGTTCCAAGAACCACAAAAACTGCAGAAGAAAGATCACAATGAAAACTGAACAATATAAATAACAAACATTAACAGAGCGGCACATGATTTTGGATGAGACAAAAGAAGTTATGTTGTGAATATACAATATACTCTCAGTTATCTATGGTAACAGAAAAGTAGGAAATAATCTTTTATATTATCTTTTACCCATAATTTCAATCTTTTTTTTCACTAAACTACTTAGTGGAACCAAAGTTGTTGAAAACAACTAAAATACTTAAATTTTTTTGGAGTATTCTCCTTACGGATAGTGGTTCTAATGTGCAGTAAAACGTTACAAACCAGGTAGCCAAAAAGACAGATAAGCAAAGGGTTTATATAATCCAAAGAGAGGACAGGCATGGTGGCTTATGACTGTAATTTCAGCACTTTAGAAGGACAAGGCGAGAGGAATCCGTTTAGGATTGCTTAAGCCCAGGAGATTGAGACCAGCCTAGGCAACATAGTGAGATCTCATCTCTACCACAAAAAAAATTGTATCTATCTATCTATCTATCTATCTATCTATCTATCTATCTATCTATCTATCTATCTAAAATCTACAAAGGGACCTACTTGCTTCAGAATTATAACTGTTTTTATTTAGCAGATATCATCAAATCACTATTTTCATTTAACATATATAGAAAAAGACTTCTTGTAAAATCTGGAACTCAAACTGCAACACAAAAATACTGTCATTTAAAATAAAAAATAAGGCCAAGCGCAGTGGCTCGTCTGTAATCCCAACACTTTGGGAGGCTGAGGTGAGAGGACTGCCTGAGCCCATGGGTTCGAGACCAGCCTGGGCAACTTAGCGAGACCTCATCTCTACAATAAATCAAAAAATTAGCCAGGTGTGGCAGTGTAGTTCCAGCTACTTGGAAGGCTGAGAGAGAAGGATCGTCTGAGTCTAGCAGGTTGAGGCTGCAGCGGCTCTGAGTGTATCACTGCACTCCAGCCTGAGCAACAGAGTGAGACTCCTACTCAAAAGATAATAATAATAAAATAAAATAAATTTAAAAATAGGATAGGCAACAGACACTCTTGCAGTTGTCCTCCCCGTTTTGCCCTTCATAATGTATCATTCCTTTAATAAATCTACCTAAAAAAACCCCACGAAGAATAAAACCAAAACCTGTCATTCTGCAATCTCCTGGCTAAATTATAATAGCCTTTCACAATATTCTACTATCTTTTATACAAGAGAAGTTTTGAGTTTTTCTTGACTCTTAAGTTATGACCTTGGTTGCTCTTCCTTCTCTACTAAGTATGGTGCTATTAGGAAACACTGAAGCAATTATTTTGACATGCATCCACATCAGCAAATCTGAATTCAACAGATAAAACTATCAGGGGTTATTGTTTCTTTTGTTTTCAATGTTTTCAATTCCACACCAAATGGCAAGAAAACAATTGAAGAACTAAATAAAAATAAGGTGGTAGTGGGAGGAGTTCCTGTTAGAAAGACTAGTCAAAGGCTGTCATTTAGTTTCTAAACCTATTTTCACTCTACAAACATATTAAAATATTTTTAAAACTTGCAAGCCGGGTGCCGTGGCTCAGGTCTATAATCCCAGCAGTTTAGGAGGCTGAGGTGGGATGACTGCTTGAGCCCAAGAGTTCAAGACTAGCTGATACACTGACGCCAATGGGTTCCTAGAATACTTAGCTAGCAGGGGAAGCCTGTGCTCCAAGGGGCCTGCCCTCTAAAAGATAATTCTGGGTTTTTTTGAGTTCCCCCTCATATATGTGTATCAAAACAGTATGTAGTGTATCTTTTATACAATTTTTAAAATAAAACAGTAAAATCTCATCTCTACAAAACATAAAAAAAATGAGCCAGATAAAGTGGCATACACCTGTAGTCCCAGCTATTTGGGAGGCTGAGGCAAGAGAATACCCTGTGCCACTGCACTCCAGCTTGGGCAACAGAGTGAGACCCTAACTCAAAAACAAAAAAACTTGTAAAATGGTGTCAATAAAGACATATCACCTATAATCTAAATAAAGCAATCCATCTATTGCTAGCACTTCAATAAATTTTTTTCTGGTCTTTTCTTCTTTTAAAAAAAAATTGTATAAAAGAGGCACTACATACTGTTTTGATACGCATATATGAGGGGGAACTCAAAAAAACCCAGAATTATCTTTTAGAGGGTGGAGCCCTTGCAGCACAGGCCTCCCCTGCTAGATGAGTGTTCTAGGAACCCATTGGCATCAGTGTACTAGCTAGTGTTGTGAGAGGCTGTGATTGGCTTCACTAGTTTTTTGGGGGGAGATGCTTTCCATGCATTTGCCATTTCACAATGGGCGACTGATGAGCGCACCTGCCCACAATGCACTGAGTGTTCAGCCCTTTTTGAACGAAAACGGCATGACCCTCGTGCCCCATCCTTCCTATTCCCCTGATGTCACCCCAACCAACTTTCTTCTGTTTCTCCCATGAATAAAGTCCTCAAAGGGAAACATTTTGTCAATGTGGAAAAGGTGAAACAAAAAATGGCAGAAGAACTAGAAGGCATCAAAATTGACGAGTTCAAAAATTGTTTTGAGCAGTGGAGAAAACATCTTGATAAGTATACTGCATCAAGCGGAGAGAACTTTGAAGGTAACTGTAGCTTGAACATGTAAGAATAAATACACAATTTTTCATCAATGAGTTCTGTGTGTTTTTGGGTCACTCCCTTATATATATTCAGTTAAGACAATTAACCTAACCATCATCTTCCATAGTTGTTATTTTTTTCCCGTGGTAATAACCCTTTAAATTTACTCTCAGCAAATTTTATTTACATACAATACAATATTATTGACCATAGTCCTCATTTGTCTTAGTCTTTTTATCTGAGCCCATTATTGTATAGTTATAATCTCAGTCTGTAACATAATTCTAAATGTCTACATAACACTCATTTAAACATAAAGACCACAGCTGGGCTCGGTGGCTCAGCCTGTAATCCCGCGCCTTTGGGAGGCTGAGGTGAG